GCCCTTCAGAAGTATAGATTCATTTTTGAGCACTATTAAAATTTAAACAACGATTTGCAGTTATCTTATAAAGTCTTGCACATTTGCGTTATCGATTTATGAATTGCCATTTTTCCATTTTGAAAATCTAGGTTTTTTTTATTATTTTTTCACAAATATTTAAATGCACAACATATTACGAGTTCTTCAAAAACAAAGGGCGATATTCTCAAATTGTGTAGAAAATTACAGAATACAAAGCAACAAGAAAATAAAACACCTGCTGTTAGATACTGCAAATTGATGTAAAAAAAAATGATTGCAATTGAAAATGAGCAATTTTTCCACGTTTCTTTACAAAATCCATTAACTGGAAAATTTCACCTTTGGTTTGCGATAGCCAAAAACCTTAAAATTTGCAGCTATCATCTTCATCATCCTCACCATGAAATATGATAGCTGACCATAAATTATACCAAGCATTTTTTAATGTAGCTGGAGACACAACCTCCCCCGATTTTGCGATGTTCCGCACAGCAGATTTCATACTAAAATATTTCAAAAATTCTTGAACAGTGTTGCCATTATTCAAGAAATTTAACATGGATTTTAAAAATGCTACTTTATATTTGCATTTCAGCTCACACACTATTAAAAAACAATACTGATACATTATCTTTCACTAAAACTTTAAGCGAAGTATGAGCCAAACAGTTGTCTACAATCAGGACAATTTTTGCATCATCAAGTAAACGAATAGAATTCAAATCTTGCTAAGCCTCGGGTATGAAATGATTTTAAACCAATCATTCATTAATGCTTGTGTCATCCATACTCTTTTATTTTCACAATATGTAACGGGGAAATACTTTGTTCCTTTTAATTCTGGAGCTCATGTATTTTTTCTGATTATGAAAAGTTTACACTTGTACATTCCTGCAACATTTACGCAAGCTAAAATTGAGTCTCGCTTTGGAATCTTTGACACCATTAGGAGCCTTTTCTGTAGAGGTGCAAAGGTATTTCGTGGTACATTTTGCCAGAAAAGGCCAGTTTCATCAGCATTGTAAATTTGTTCTGGAGATAACTCTTCACTATTAATGAGCTCAATGAATTCATCTGCGAATTGTTCAGAAGCTTCAGAATAAGCTGAAGCTTTTTCACCTGAAATTTTTAATTGCCTTATACCATTGCAATTTTTAAATTTGGTTAATCAACCTGTCAAATACATGCACTCAGTTTTTCAAGTTCATTTCTTTATGAAATATTTTGACATCAGCTTTTAGCACTGCATCCGTCAGTGGGATGCCCTTGCTGCGATGCTGTCTGACCCATTCAATCATTATTTTGTCATGATCGTTACTTGTAGCATAGTGCAAAAATTTTCTGTTATTCATTGCGTGTGGGGTGTCGGAATCACCAAAAATTCAAACAATTCCCTTTTCTGTTTTCTTATGTCATATACAATTGACTTTTCAATGTGAAGAAAGACGATTTTTTCCTTTAACATTAGCCTTGCTTCTATCACACACTGAAGCAGCTAAGCCAGAATTATATTAATTTAGTTGTTTATAAAACTTACATCTATTTTTTGCACATACTTACCTGAGTTCCTGAATGAATAAATTTGCACATGTACTTAAGGCTTATCGAGGGCCAGCACTAGATATCTTACTGCCTGATACAGTCTCTGGGGGATCCTAAATTCTGCTAAGCACCTAAGTCCTAAATTTTTGAAGCTCCTAAATTTTGGGTCCCAGTACTTTCCCTAAATTCTAAATATTTTGTCATTCCTTAATTTTGCTGCTCCCTGCTTCTCTAAAATCCCCAAAATTTTGTCTTTCTGCCATCCAGTGCGACCACATGAGGTCTGGCGCCAGTTCTGTGTTTATGTGAATAACAAACCAGTTATTCTTAATTCAAATAGCACTAAAAGTATCATTAACAAAATCTGTTTTTAGCATATGGAATGAAATTTTTCCTTGTCAACATTTTGCCCACCAGCAGCCGAGCGGTAAAATAGCTGAACACTGGTAGTTCGGTCCGAGGTTCAAATCCCGCGAACGTGCTGGCTGCATGGGCGTTTTCACGGTTTTCCCCATGTGTAACGTGTATACGAGCCAGTTCTTCTTAGAAAGTCCTCCACGAAGACATCCCTCTTAGGCAGATAGCCCTCGTGCGCTTTGCCGTATTCTCAATACACCACCTTGTCAACATTTCTTAGCACATTACTCAAGTTATCATGTGTTGATAAACATACGGTGATGAAAGCAAAATATAAAAATGATTTGCCAGGTTGGTGTCAGGGATATAAAATATTAGTGGATGTAAAATCAATGTTTCTATGCAAAACGTTTCAGTTTGGGATGTAAATAACAAGGTAATTTATTTAATTCTGAAGTGAAATTAAGAATTGGAACTCTTCACATGTTTTATTATGGGGGAAAAAATCAAATGTGCATACAAAAAAATTTCTCAAAAAAAAAAATCCTTGGTGGCTTTGATGTCCGGACTTTAGATCATTCCAGATATTGGACATCTGGATCTCAGACTTTGTACTGTATCATGTGTTCTTTTTGATATTATAACATGGGTAAGTTAACATTTATTCTTTATCTAATGTTAGGTTATTAAGGAACATTAAAATCTATATTCTCTTCTATTCTAAAAATTCTTTTCAATCTGGGTTATAGTGGCATCAGTGTAGAAATATAATTAAAATATATATCTCTAAATAATTCACTAACATTTTCGTACTGTAAATCTTAAATTTTACAATAGTAGTTAAATTTATTTTAGTATTTTTTTAATATATAAACTACTTTTGCAGGGATTGCATGATTTACAATCGCCCCATATTATGCATTTAAAAGTATTCTTAAGTACAATATTTCTATATCACTTGGTGCTATATGAAAATACATTCAAAAACATTCTTCATAACTCTGTATGCAAACCCAGATATTTAACTTGAAAAGCAGGTTTAACAACTCTCCTTTTACTTGTATTCAGTGAGGCTTCAGCACAGGAATTAGTACAGTAGAAAGTCCGAAATCCGAACGTCCATTATCCGGAATGATCCAAAATCCAGACCTCAAAACCACCAACAGCGCTTTCATCGTAGGCTTTATGCATGCACATTTGATTCCCCCTTCCATGCATAATAAAACATCTGGAGAGTACCGATTCTAAATTTCACTTTGACACTAAATAAAATACCTTGTTATTGAAGAAACAATCCTTTTAGCATAAATTTGTAGGATCAGTAATTTGGTTCTGTTGCTGCATAGCTCCTTGGCACGCATCTCAAACTGAAACATTCCACATATATATCATTGCTCTGACTCCAACATAGTGAATCATTATTTATTATACTTTCCTTTCATCACTGCATGTTTATCAAAACATAACAACTTCAGTAATGACTCATGCAGTGATGCCTAAACAATTTTTTTATGTTAGTAATTGAATAATAAAGGAGTATGGTAACCTTTTATGTTGACATTATGCTTGGCAATTATTACAGATTTAAGTTAAATGCATTAAAAATGTTGATGACAGAAAATTTACCAAAAATTTCTTTCCATGTGCTAAAAATAGATTTTGTTGATGATACTCATAGATCTAAAGATTACATTTAGGGCTATTTGAATTAAGAATAAATGATTTTTAATTCACATAAACCAAGGACCAGCGTCAGGACTCCTATGGCCGCACAGAATTTAGGACTCGCATAGACTGCATCAGGTGGTACGATATCTAGTGCCCGCCCTCAATAAAGCTTAAGTATATGTGGGAATTTATTTATTCAGAACTCTTATTATAAGCCTTAAGCATGTGCAACAAATAGACATAACTATAATTAATAAATAAACTAATACAATTCAGGCTTAATTGTCTCAGTGCACAATAGAAGCAAGATAAAATTTAATGGAAGAACTTGTTGTTAGTCGCCAAGCTCATGATGCATAGCCAAATACGCATAATGAAGGATAGCTAAATTTGATGACGATAGCCACTAATTTTAATGGTTTTTGGATATCGCAAAACAAAGATTAAATTTTCCAATTAACGGATTTTGTAAAGAAATGTGGAGAAGCAGTAATAAATGAAGATGATATAAAAGAAGTTTTTCATTGTGATGACAATGCTTCTCAATCATCAATCAATAAATGAATGGCGAAATCTGTAGTATGGTTTTAGATCCAGAAAATACCGCTACCGATAATGAAGAAAGTGACAAAGAAGTTACTGAAAACGAGAAAATTTCGACTGACAAGTTAGTCAGAATTCTCGAAACAGCAGTTACAGGACTTCAACAATGTAACTAAACAAGAGATTATGTCTGTCTACAGAATTAAAGAGAAAGTATTAGCACAAAAAACGAAGCAACTTAAACAATTTACACTGAAAGAAATGTTTAATAAGGTAAACAAATAAACATTAAGCTTTTTTTTTGTAAATTTTGACACCCTTTAGATCATAAATACTTCATTATTTTATAAATCACGATTTCATATTTTTAATTTTATAATTTCTACATCCCATTTTACTAGATTTAAACTCATGATCAATTATCTGGAAAAATCCCAAATCCGGAATTGCCGAAGTCCCGAGGAATCCGGATTTCGGACTTTGTACTGTATATGAGATAAATATAAGAATTTAACCATCAACCTTCATATTCTCAGGGGTCCATTAAGTAGCAATCAGTAACTAAACAACTATGATTAGTAAACAACAGTGATGAGCATCCAGATTCTGGCCTTAGTAGAAATATTTTCTGACTGTGAGATATAAATAATTAATCAAGGACTTGTTCATGGATCTGTTTTACATCTAGTCTTAAATAATAAGAATTGGAGATATATTTGCTAGAGTTATTTTTCTCATTTTAGTTAAGGGCTGTGCATATTCCTGATATTTTTGTTACTTGACAGAAAAATGCTTATATTTCTAATAAAGAAAATCACACGAAAATATCAAGAGAAATTTTGAGTATTTAAAAACACAAAACTTACTACATGAGCGAAGACTAGAATACAAGTAACTATCCTCTTTTGGTTCCCTTGCATTTTGGATTGTGTCTGTTAAGTCTTTTAGCCATTTCTTCCTTTCCTCATCACAGCTAGAATAAAATTAAAATGGCAATGAAATATTAAAACCCTCTTCTTTGCAATAAACATTGAAGAAGAAAATATTTAAAAACATGGGCATTTACACAAACAGCAAAAGAAAAATTATGATTTTTTTTTTTTTTTTTTTTTTTTTTTTTTTTTTTTTTTTTTTTTTTTTTAATATTTACCTGGCAGCAACCATTAGAGCTCTGTTACCACCATAGATAGTAAAGCAATTTGTTACACCCATTTTGGGTTCAGTTTCTTCAACCATAACACCAGACAAAGGAAGCTGTCCATGAACTTTGAATTGCAGTTGAGCAGTAGGTGCCCTGGTTGTATACAGCAGAACATCAGAAAACTAAAACACAAGATTATGAGAAAATAAAATTCAGAAAACTGGCAAATTTGTATTTCTTGAATTTAATACACAAGCAAATATAAATGCAGGTACAGGAATACCTTGGAAAACACAGCTAATTTGTTTCAAAAAGCATCCACATTGTGCAAAAATTGTGCTTCTTGAGGTCTAATTTCAAATGTATTTTTCCTTAAAAATTTCATCTTAAAAAAAGTTTAAAAACGTAAAAGATTTATTTTTATTAACTAAACAGCAGAGAAAATAATTTAAAAAATATAAACGTTACAGAAGAGAAATACTACTTCAATTTTAGCTCAGTTTATTTTTTTATAATGTTTTAGAATAAGCTGTTTGCTTAGTATTTGTCTACAATATTTGATGGCATTATTTAGATTATTATATCTCCTTCTGGAGCTTCCTTTGAATTTCGACGGCATTTATGAGTAAATTGGAACTATACCGATTTTTTCTCATAAAAGTTGAAGGGTCAGCAAAGATAAATTCTTGAACTATGACATCAAAGGCATAATCATTATCTGCTCCACAGGAACACTGTAATTCTGTTTTCAAAACGGTTTCTTCTTCCATATAACTTAAATGTGAATCAATATATTCCATCACATTTTTTTGCAATCCAAATTTGTAAAACAAAAATCTTTGCCTATCTGCACAATTTCTATTAAGATTTCCTCTTTGTGTGTTTCAAAGCGAGGAACATTATTTGAAAAATATATATTTTCCCAAACAACTTTCAAGTTGCTTCAAGTCATCATTCGCTAAGAATCATAAATATTTTGAATGACATCCTTTTATGCAAATTTCCTCCAAAATTACTCTAAGTCAAAAAAAATCATCTGTTGTAGCTTTAATAATTTGGACAAAAGTCTGCCTTAAAAGGTAGCCTTTAAAAGTGGAGATATCGTAATCCATCAGTTGCAAAACTAATCTATTCGCAGGTAAAAAATTAAACTTGATATTTTGAGGTCAAGAAAGTTTTTTAAAGGGATATCATTTGCTTTTTCAACAAATTTTAACTTTCGAGCAGAAACCTATGAATAACCTATGTCGGATAATACATGAACTTGGATGGCATATCATAGCTTATACTCAAACTTATAAAATATTCTTATATATATACATGCATATGTGCTATTTACTACTTTTATTTGCTCAAATGTAAAATTCCTAGTTGGCAAATCTTTTGCCAATTCATTAATCATAAAGACCATGTTACATCAAAATCCACACTGTTTAAAACCGCATTTACACAAAGTATTGTTGAATGTAATTAAATACACTATAAGACATTTTCTCCCGCCTTTCTGCATGCCTTCATGCTGTAAGTCGATGCATATTCGGGAGATCCACAATTCGCATCCTGGCGAGAGGAACTGTACATTTTTCACATCTCCTACTCTTCCCCCAAAAGGCCTAATGAGTCTATAGCTGCATCCAAACTAAATGGTTGTGGTCCATAATTCATCATCAGAATTTCACGATTGGATGCCCTCATCCCAAGTCACACTTTAAAAGAGGGAGTATATAAAGTATTTTCTCACTCTTTTTTCTGCATGCCTTCAAGGTGTAATCGGAAGCAAACTCAATGCGCATTCAGGAAGTCCAGAGTTCGAATAGTAGTGAGGGCATTGCACATTTTTCACATCTGCTTAAAAAAAAAAAAAAAAAAACTGCAATGCAAAAGTGAAAAAAAAAAAAATAAGGTAAAATCCTTTTTTTACCTTATAAAATAAGCTTTTTTCAAAAAAAAAAAAAAAAAAAAAAAAAAAAAAAAAAAAAAAAAAATGAACTAAAATGAGAGAAATAAATTATTATATAGTTTAATAGGAACAACAGATTACATAATTCTCTCTACAAAATTCATCCACAGTTTTTTATCACAAATAATAAAGTGTGATGCATTCTTAATAAATTTATAAAGTTACAGCAGATGTCACTTAACATGATTGCAGTTAATCTTACCATTTGGATATTATTATTAAATTGCTGAAGTTCCAACTGTTTGTATACGAAGATGTGGAAAATATATTGCTTATTGTGACCAACAGTACAGTTAATATTATCAAAGTATCATAGAATAATTGCTTTAGACTGAAGAAATGATGCCAAACAAAGTCAAAATAGATTATCAACATTTTCAAGTAAAGCACTTAAGTCAGCCAACAGTTTGCTTTCAGTTTTGTCCACCTGTTTAAAACGAGGCAAAAAGTAATCTCAGTATAGCATAAATTTTGAATAACTCATTCAGTTTTGAGGGTAATGAAACGCAGGTGACTTTTCTTCTTCCAGCTGATTTTGTTTCCTCCCTATTACTATTCTCTTTTCATCATAATGTTTCCTATTAATGATTTTATAATTTAAAAAAAAAAAATCCCTGAAAACATCAATGCCAAACTACGCTTGCTCTCTCGCCAAATTTCAAATTGTATATTGGTATGTTCTCTTTCAATAAATGAGTGTACCCTCCAAGTATGAAGTTTAGGGATATAGCACCAATCAAATAATTTCCAGAAATGTTATGAAGTATGTTATGAAGACTTCATAAATGAACTTTTGCATTAAAGACATTATGAACAAACTTTTGAATTTTATAAATTAAATTGCTGTGAAAGTACTTATTTATGTTTCTAGTTACATAAAGTTAGTTAAATTTCATTGATGTTTTGAAGGGTATTTTTCTTATCATTTAATGATATCAAAATAGCCATGGAAAAATATGATCACAAAGTGTAAATTTTCTAAAGAAAATTACTTAGACTCTTACTCCCATTGAAAATAATATGGTAAAAAAATTATCATTTTAGTTCATTAATGATTTTATATGTTTTAAATAAAAGTGCATTTTATGAAAACATTTTTTCAAACTTTCTGTATTCTTATGTCAATGAAGTTATTCAGTTAAAAAATCGTTTTTTAGCAATGAAAAATCCCTCTTTCACATTTAACAATACTGTTTACATCAAACAATAGAATAAATTGAGCGATTTTCAAAAATTCTTTGAAATATCAGAAATTATATTTAAAAATTTAATATAAACTTCATTTAAAAGATATTTTTTTGCTCTATTCCATGGCACAAAGAGTAAAATTCAGAGAATATTTTATTGTTAGTTAGATAAAGATACATGGGAAAATGCATTTCAATATTAAATTAAAAAATTTCTAAATAGAATTAATACAGAAATACTTAGCATTTTGCTGCACCACATTACATTTTCATCCACTATGAGAGTGAATGCAAAATTTGAGATGGGCAGCCTATCAAGGTATAGTTTAAAAAAAAATCTATGACAAAGTTTTGATTGTAACAACAATTACCATATGGGGAAAGAAGATAAAGCTTATAAAAATATGGCTAGTATAAAAAAGATGCTAAAAAGCATCTAACTAATATTTCTTATCATTTTTGTTTTAAAAGTGGGTGACAGTTTGTTTAATAACATTTTAAATTTTCAAATCTTTATAATAGATGCATTTTTATATGTTAGAATTTTGAAATCCCATAAAAGGATATAGTATTGACTTGCAAAAGAAAAAATTATGAAAATCAACATTTAAAATGAAATGCTGAGAAAAATATATATAAACTTATGAAAGTGAAAAAAATTAAAAACACCATAATAGATTTCATTGCTGATAACTGTAAACACTGATCAAACATTAAACAGAGTTGCTTATGAAGTTGATAAAATTAAATAGTAAATGTACAGAAATGTTGCACAGAAAAAAGAAGAGTTGTGTTATATAATGATATCATAGCCTTGAATGTATTTTTCAGGAGAGGCAAGAAGAATAATGGATTTGCTCCCCTTTCTGACTCCCAATAGTAACACACACACACATATATATATACATACATATGTAATAGATTTTGTAGTAGAATGCAGGTGGTTATATCCACAACGAACAGCTAGAATTTTGATGCCGTAGAATGCTGAAACGCTGATCCACAAGGAATAAGAAATTTGGCAGTCAAGGTATATATTTAACTTTTATTTCAATAAACATGTTGTGGTGGCAATCCAGTTGGCACATTAATTGCGCCTCTATTCCAAAAAGCTTACATTTTTGATAACTTTGTAGCAAGAAGCAGCAGATAGACAGCAGTCCAGCGGGGGCAAAGCGTTGAAAGCAAGAGTGTTGTTATGTTCTGAGTGAAATCTTAATTCAGACTGAGTTAGTTTTGGTTCTCAATGCATTTTGATTGAATGGCTAATATTGCTGTAAAATTACTATTGGCTGTTTGAGTTTTAGTTGCATTTACATCATCAGTAAGAGTCATATGACACAGATTTTTCTCGAAATGATGCTGTGCAAATAGAGGTTACTATTTTTAGAATACAGAAGAGAATAAATTTTCTCTGCTAATTTAATCTTTTACATATTCTTTATTTTTCTTACATATATATAATTTAGAAAATCACTCAATAAATTTGTGCAATGTTAGAATGCTTATTAATCAAGGCAGAAGTGAAATGGCAACACGAATTCACAGAAAAGATTATTCTCTTGAATATTCATAAACAATAATGTCTGTGCAAATTCTCAGATACTGTTATAGTTTTAGTACAGGATGCACACCCATAAGCACAAATATGCATGCCAGTTTGACTCAATTTATTTCAGAAAGTGGATGAATGAATGTGAATTATGCAATTTTCACTGCCTACAGTGAACAGAATAAATATATATATAAAATCAATTTGTGATATTATGACATCAAAATCTTGAACTACGTTTCAAAGATAAGGCAACAGAGAACCGATTTTTTTTTCCTTTCTGGGTCCAGACTGCAACATATTTACTTAAAAAATGAAGAAAAACATCCAATTAGTACTTTTTAAATCATTCTTGTTCTAAAAGAGGGTGAAGAAGTTTAACCATTTGTGAAAAGTTCAAAATTTTATACTTTTGTACTTTTAGATATTGAAGTTTTAAAATCATACATGCCAAATAGTCGAAAAAAGATAGTGAGCTTCAAA